GCTGGCTGCCATCATAGTTGAAGTGGGTATGAGCCAGCACGCTGGCTGCCATCATAGTGGAGTGGGAAAGTGGCAAAGCCAGCACACTGGCTGCCATAGTATCCTTATATAGATGTATATATGTATGTATAGATAGGTGGCAAAGCCAGCATAAAGCAGATGTTTATGAAATTCTTTCGCAGGTCTTTGGTGCTGTAGATCTTAGGCACGTTTCGTTTCGTGTTCGTGGCTCAAGCAGAGAGACCGCAGCAATTGCCAAGTGAGTTCGCGCAAGTCTCCACAGATTGTAGCCGGGAACGTACAGCAAGGCAAGAGCCGTGAAGAATGTACTTGCCAAGAGGCGCGCGGACCATGGCCACTCTGCAGGACGCAGTTCTGCGAAACGCGGAGGCAGCGGGTCAGCAGGAGCAAGAGGCACAGCGCCTGCGAGACGGACACCGGGAGGGAGGCGCGGCGTGGTTGCGGACCGAATTGGAGGCCAAGAACTACGCCGACTTGCGACGGCTGTGCGCTTTGTTGGGGCTGCCGCAGCAGCGCGACGGCAGAACCCTTCGGAAGGAGCAGCTGCTGGAATCCATAGTGGACTGCTTCTCATCGCAGGAGGGCTGGAGTAAGGGGATGGGCGTAGTGTTTAGTGCAACTTTGCGCGCAAGCTGTTTGTGTTGAAGTGGGTGTTGGCTAGACTTGATAGTGGAGAGCTGCTCTTCGCAGGGAGGGTTGTGTTCGGGGATGGGTGTTTGCTTTTGGTGTCCATGCAAAGTCCCTGACAGGAACCGGCACATCCGAACGTTGAGGACGGTTTTGCGAAAGACATCTAGATATAAGACTTTCAATCTTTGTTCAGATACCCAACAATCTTTGTTAAGATACCCAATTTGTGTTAGGGGATGGGTGCAGTGTACAGTTCAACTTAGTTGAGACAGGTGTCTGCTTCTGATATCCCTGCAAATTCCCATACAGGAAGCAGGGCAGCAGGAGCCAGAGGTGCAGCGCCTGCGAGACGGACACCGGGAGGGAGGCGCGGCGTGGTTGCGGACCGAGTTGGAGGCCAAGAGCACTTCCGACGTGCGGCGGCTGTGCGCTATGTTGGAACTGCCGCAGCAGCGCGACGGCAGAACCCTTCGGAAGGAGCAGCTGCTGGAATCCATAGTGGACTGCTTCTCATCGCAGGAGGGCTGGAGTAAGGGGATGGGCGTAGAGCGGTGTTGAACTTTGCACACAAGCTGTTTGTGTTGAAGTAGGTGTTGGCTAGACTCGATAGTGGAAAGCTGCGCTTTGCAGGAAGGGTTGTGTTCGGGGATGGGTGTCTGCTTTTGGTCTCCACGCAAAGTCCCTGACAGGAACCGGCACACCCGAACGTTGAGGACGGTTGCGTGAAAGACATCTAGATATAAGACTTTCAATCTTTGTTAAGATACCCAATTTGTGTTAGGGGTTCTGAAATCCATGCAAATTCCCATACAGGAAGCAGGGCAGCAGGAGCCAGAGTTGCAGCGCCTGCGAGATGGACATGGAGAGGGAGGTGCGGCATGGTTGCGGGCCGAGTTGGAGCCTAAGAGCCGCGCCGACTTGCGACGGCTGTGCGCTGAGTTGGGACTGCCGCAGAAGCGCGACGGTGCAGCCCTTCGGAAGGAGCAGCTGCTGGAAGCCATAGTGGAGAGCTTCTCGTCGCAGGAGGGATGGAGTCAGGGGATGGGCGTAGAGCGGTGTCTAAGTTTGCGCACAAGCTGTTTATGTTGCAGTAGGTGTCGGGTAGACTCGACAGTGGAAAGCTGCGCTTTGCGGGAAGGGTTGTGTTCGGGGATGGGTGTCTGCTTTTGTTATCCAAGCAAAATCCCTGACAGGAACCGGCGCATCCGAACATGGAGGACGGTTTCGTGATTTGTAGCTGTCTTGGAGTAAGGAAAAGATATCTAGATATAAGAATTCCAAGCTTTCTGAGACACTCAACCTTGGTTACAATGGTTTTGTGACGTGTAGATGTATTCGACCAAGCAAAAGACATCTTGATATAAGACTTTCAATCTTTGTTAAGACACCCAATCTGTGTTAGGGGATGGGTGCAGTGTATAGTTGAACTTAGTTGAGACTCTGTTTTCTCGTGGTCCAATAGGTGTCTGCTTCTGATATCCCTGCAAATTCTCATACAGGAAGCAGGGCAGCAGGAGTCAGAGGTGCAGCGCCTGCGAGAGGGACATGGAGAGGGAGGCGCGGCATGGTTGCGGACTGAGTTGGAGGCCAAGAGCACTTCCGACTTGCGGCGGCTGTGCGCTATGTTGGAACTGCCGCAGCAGCGCGACGGCAGAACCCTTCGGAAGGAGCAGCTGCTGGAATCCATAGTGGACTGCTTCTCATCGCAGGAGGGCTGGAGTAAGGGGATGGGCGTAGAGCGGTGTTGAACTTTGCACACAAGCTGTTTGTGTTGAAGTAGGTGTTGGCTAGACTCGATAGTGGAAAGCTGCGCTTTGCAGGAAGGGTTGTGTTCGGGGATGGGTGTCTGCTTTTGGTCTCCACGCAAAGTCCCTGACAGGAACCGGGACATCCGAACGCTCAGGACGGTTTTGTGATTTGCAGCTGTATAGTTCAACTTAGTTGAGACTCTGTTTTCTTGCGGTCCAATAGGTGTCTGCTTCTGATATCCCTGCAAGTTGAATGATACCCAATTTGAATGTATCTGCGCAAGCGTCACTGCGGAGGAACCGGTGACTGCGGAGTCACTGCGACGCTTGGCGCAGGAGCTGGGAGACCAAGCACCACCGACCCTCCGAGGTCGTCTGAGGGGTGTGCGTCTGAGGAACGCGGAGCCGTCCTTGGTTGATATAGCTTCGGAGTTGGGCCTACCTTGCGAGCATATGCATCGGAACAGGCGGGTGGATAGCATCGTTCTGTCGCTCTGTCCGCTGCGAGCGCCCGGGGCGGAAGATGATGTGAGGTATCACTTTTGGCGCTGGCTCGCAGATTGCCGGACCGTTCCTGCAGCAGACCTCGTAGCAAAGGCATCTGTCAGTTTTCCTGCGACACAGCTACAGCGATCCATGCTTAGTATTTGCGAAGATGTTCCGTTGGAAAGTATTGAGAGGAGGCATGGAAGCGCGGCCGCGGAGCTGGAGCAATTGAGCCAGGCCACCGTTGCCATCTTGCAACACCTTTCTGCTTTGAATGTTCAGTTTCCAGCTGAAGTGCCAGAGACTTGGACCACTGCGATGGAACAACTGCAAAGCATCAGATGGCCAGACCGTTTGTCTGGATTACAGTGCAGTAGTTTGCTGGCTGTGTTGTTGGAGAATCGGCCGCTACAGCGCAGAGGCCTGGCGCGTGTGGACCGGAATTGTGTTGTGGGGTCTGATGTTTGTTTGGCTTTTGTTCGGTCGCAAACATATATACTGTCTCCATCGAAAATATGTTGGACGCAAGGTTGGTGGCAGTTGGTGGATTGCTGGGGTCGCGCAGATCCAGTGGATGTAGCAGAGCGACTGTGGAGCCTGGCCACATGTCATCAAGCTGGACCAGCAGTGGAGCCAGACAGTGGCTTCCAGGATCGAGAAGATGTTTTGGAGGTGGGTCGGCAGAAAGCATGGGACTTTTGCAAGGTTTATGTGGACGTTTGGTTCGGAGAAACAGTTTCTGATTTGATTGGTTGTTCGTTCGCTTGTTTTTTTCCCGTGTCTCTCTGCGCAGGCGGTCTTGGGCGCACTGAAGCACAAGCACAAGAGTCGTGGATATGATGAGGCAGACAAACTCTTGTTGCGCACTTTGATGCGGCGCTATGGCTGGGAAAGACATCTGGACGAGAGCACATCGTGCACGTGGATGGAAACCTTTGAAGCAGTCAAGAAGGCAGAGGGTTGGTCTCGTTTTGCTTGATTTCTGGTCGCGCACTTGTTGCACCCTGCTTGTCGTGAGAGTTTGCGTGCGTGGCACAATCCGGTGACCGTTTTGGAGTCGAGATTAGACCGCAGTGGTATAGCCCAGGAGGTGGTTGCTTTGCACGATGACTTGTTGGCCTGGCAAGATCTCCACGGGTGTTCTTCGTTGCCCGAGAAGAAGCAGCATGCAGACTTGGCGAAGAGGGTGGGCAAATATTTCAACAGCAGGGAGGCGCGTGTGAGGACCCTCCAGAAAGCTTATCCTGCAGACTTTGCGCCGCTGCCTGGTTACAGAGTTGAGTGTTTGTCCGTGGAAGGCGATTCCCTGCGTGGTGTACTCTGGCGGTCTGCAGCTGAACGTGCTCTGATGTTTTCGATCCCTGGATGGAGAGGAGAGGGCAAGGGCAAGGAGGAGTTTCATCCTTTGCAGGATTTCTGTAAGCATTGGTTGCCAGAAGCAGACGAGATGGAGTGTCTTGATTTAATTTGTTGACCAACACACAGCGCCCTGTCACGTGGAAGCTCGAGCAAGTCGCGAGACGATTGGACTGTTCACCCACGGTTTCTGGTGCGCAAGAAGCTTTAGCCAAGCGCTTACTGCGATCTTTCCCTGAGGATGCAGGTGAATGCCTACAGAAATTCTGCTGTAGATTGTGTCCAACCGACTGCGCAGATGCAAAGTCCTTCACAGAGCACGTCGCACAGGAGCACGCTGGCGTCGGGCTGCAAGATACTCCCCGGGCGCTGATTGAGTATCGCAAGATGCTCCCAGAGAGAAAAGCTCGGCTTTAGATCTATGATAGCACGCGAGCTTCTTTTGGCACTAGTTTCTGGTTCTTGACCATTTCCACAACAACTAACCATTTCTCTCACGGTTATAGCTTTTTGGCTCCAGTATTCATAACATCTAGGCTTCGGACAGATTGCCCTGGTATGAATCACCTGCAGCCATCCCTGCCACATTTGCCTGTGGAGCTTTGCGCGCAAGAGTGGATCGACAATATGAAGGATCTCATTCAGACGTACTTCTACCATGGGCCATGGAGGCATCTGGATCGTGTCATTTGGAACCGTTCTTACAATTTGGGAGATATCCGTGCGTGGCCCTTGGACGCGACCATCGTCTATGAGTCGAACGATATGGTGTATGTCCTGGGCAGTCTGAAGTCGGCGGCGAACTTGGCCGAAGTGGCGCATATCTGCGGCGTCCAAGTGAACACGCTCGTGACGCTCTGTGCCAAGGAGTTGCAGGCCAAAGGGACACCAGAGTTGGGATTCATATTTACGCCTGCACAGCGCCCAACAATGTGTCTACGCTCTGGAGGATGTGACGGTCAAAGTCGCCCAAGATCCGACGCTGTACGCGGAGCAGGCCCAGAAGAACTGTCGGGTGTGGTCAGAGATCGCACGCACTTTGAATGCCAGGCGTGCCATGCTGGGGAAGAAACAAGTCGTGCTCTTCCATTGTTTCGGTGGCATACATCGCAGCCCCGCGGCACTGGCTGCGACGTTGATGGCCAGGGAAGGTCTTCAGGCGCAGGAAGCCATTGAACAGATTTTGTGGCGCCGACCTTCCTTGCGCCCATGGAAACATCGAGACTATATTCTATGGGCACTGAAGCATTGGGAGACTTTGCTGTCCAAGCACGCTCACGCGGCTTTGAGTCTCTGAGAGGCTCGGGACATGGACGCCGCTCTGCGAAAATGTATCACCGCGACGGCATGGACGCTGTTCTGCAGAAGTGTCGTCGCGCGGACTAGACGGCCCAGGCAAACAAAAACAGGCGCGGCGCCGCAGTGAGCTTATCTCAGCAAACAGTTTTAATGGGAGATATCTTATTGGTTTCTCCCCAAAGCTCTTGTTCCCGAAAGCATTGCGAAGGGTTCTTCCGGAAAATCCTTTGAACACTGACACTTCGACACTTACACTTACACACTGACACTTCCACCACATTCGCACCACATACACCGACACTTCGACACTGACACTTACACATACACACTGACACTCGGCAAGCACGCAGTGTAAGTAAGCAAGTGATGGGTACGCAAGCATGCAATGAGTAGGTACGCCAGCATGCAATGAGTAGGCAAGTATGAGTATGGAAAACTAGCACGGGAGATGTCCTAATGAAAAACATTTCCCCACTTTATAAATTCTCTCTTAAAGGCGGAGGGCGGGACGAACAGCGTCAACCGAAAGTGCAACCCTCTGCGGAGATCGCGCGCGTCGAGTGCGCGAAATGCAGGCGAGAGTGCGATTTGCCGGCTGCGCGCGCAACCCTCTGCGGAGATCGTGCGTGTCGAGTGCGCGAAATGCAGGCGAGAGTGCGATTGGCCGGGTGCGCGCGCAACCCTCTGCGGAGATCGTGCGTGTCGAGTGCGCGAAATGCAGGCGAGAGTGCGATTTGCCGGGTGTGCGCGCAACCCTCTGCGGAGATCGCGCGCGTCGAGTGAGCGAAACGCAGGCGAGAGTGCGATTTGTCCGGTCCGCGCGCAACCCTCTGCGGAGATCGTGCGTGTCGAGTGCGCGAAACGCAGGCGAGAGTGCGATTTGGCTTTGTCCGGCGCAACCCTCTGCGGAGATCGTGCGTGTCGAGGGCGCGAAATGCAAGCGAGAGTGCATGCGTTTTGTCCCGGTCGCAGGCAACCCTCTGCGGAGATCGTGCGTGTCGAGTGCACGAAATGCAGGCGAGAGCGCGATTTGTGAAATTACCGCGCAACCTTCTGCGGAGATCGCGCGTGTCGAGTGAACGAAATGCAGGCGAGAGCGCGATTCGTCCGGTGTGCGCGCGACCCTCTGCGGAGATCGCGCGCGTCGAGTGCGCGAAATGCAGGCGAGAGTGCGATTTGTAAAATTACCG